AAATGTAGGGGAATGCCAGGGCCATCAAGTGCCAAATTCGAACTTCGAATCTTGGGCATGAGTTGTTATAAAACGGGACAAAAATGGAATTTCGGTTTATCTAGAGAGGGAGGGAGCGAAGGAGAGTTTTATCTGGTTTAGTAAAATGGGGACGTAGATTTTATTCTCCATCTCAAATATTTATTTATTTATTTATTTATTTATTTATTATTATAGTAAACGTATAAGATCATAGGGTTTCCCTAAATTAGTAATTAAAAAAATAAAAGAAAAGTAAATGGCTACAACTTGAGTTTCCATAATTGCCTTCTAGAAAAACATTTAATTGCTTAAAACAAGACTTTTAGGTATAGCACAGAGTTATTTAAGTAAACGTGTCGCCATGTTTACTTGTTAAGTTCACGGCTAACACATATTGTATTTTTTTAGTTTTTCCTTCCAGATTTCCTCTCGAGATTTTAAAACGCGTCTACTATGGACATGGTTTAGCTTATTCCAACCAGTGCCTCGCGTGGTCTGATGACCAACTCTGATACCATTTATAACATCCAAAATCTACCGCTAGCAGATATTGTCCGCTTTGACTTGCTACGTATTGTCGTCAGTCTCATGATTTTTAAAACGCGTATGTTAGGGAAAGGTTTCCACACTGTTATAAAAATGTTTCGTTCATCTCTTCAACGGATATGAGATTCAACAATCCACCTCCTTTAGAGTTCAGGGTCCTCATTAGCACTTGTTCTCGTCTGCATCTCGTGGGATCCATCATTTGACTCTTAAAAAAGGAAGCCACTCCAAGGAATTAATTCCAAAAATGGAAAGTAAAGTAAGAAAGCATCAAATTTTCAAATAACTTCAAGGAAGCAATTCTAAAAATGGAAAGTAAAGTAGGAAAGCAAACTCTATGAAAAGACATAAAACTTTCATTTTTCTATTTTCTTTTAAAAAAATGATTATTTTAGCGAGAGGATTTTCAAAATAAGAATCATTTCGGGATCGTCATAGATTTTATCATGCATCATTATAAGTATAGTATAATATATAACTTTCATATCATACATTATATGACATCGCATACATATATACCATATAGCATCATAGATCATCACATAACATTCCGAATCATGACGCATGCGAGGGCCACTATTCATGTGTTATCATACATCATACAATTCTTCCAACTGCCAACCGTAGAATGTAGGGGCCACAAGTCATGCGACATTATACATTATACAATTCTTCCAACTAAGCAACGTTGAATTATTTACTTGTTTGTCCTTAAGCAGAGTCTCTAAATACTTTAAAGTTGGTATGAAGTTGTCTTTTAATATTTAATTTAACTTATACGTATCGATCGCTCAACAAAAATGAGGTCAAGGTGGGTTTAATTGACGTGAGATGGCAAAATTGAGGCTCGAGATTGCCTAACCAAGCCTTTGACAAGGCAAACTAGACTTAATTAAATTGTCTATGTATGCATGTTTATGTGAGTTCCATGTATGAATTTTTATTTTTCTCTTATTAATTAAGTTGTTTATTGATGCAATAATTATACGGCTGTGGAGAGAAGTGGCGCTCGGCGGCGGGTGGTGGCGGAAAGAGCGATTGCCGAAGTGGAGAAAGCCTTTTTTTTTTCTTAGAAATCGGTGGAATACTCGATTTCGTGTCATTTGATCGATTTCGTTGTCGCCCTCGCCGGAGTCGATCTCAGATCGGAAAAGGCGACCATGCCGAAGAAGATGGGGGTAAACAGCAAAGCCGAGGCGGCGAGAGCACGGAAGAGCGCCGTTGAGACGGAGCGCAAGGAGCGGGAGACTCGGGAGAAGGTGGATCAGTACTGGAAAGAAGCGGAGGGTCCCAAATCCAGGGCAGCCAAGAAGCGGGAGGATGAATCGGAGAAGCGTGCTTAGGCCGCCGCTCGCAAGGCGGAGGCACGGCGTTTGGCTGAACAGGAGGAGAAGGAATTGGAGAAAGCGATGAAGAAGCCTGATAAAAAGGCGAATAGGGTTTCGATTCCGGTCCCTAAGGTAACCGAACTTGAATTAAGGAAGCGCAGAGAGGAGGAGCAAGCTGAGCTTCAGAGGAAGGCCGAGGAGGCTTAGAAAAGGCAGAGCCGGACGGCGGCGGAGGAGGAATACGAGCGGATGGTGCTGGTTACTAATACTAATAGGGATGATTCGATATTGAAGCCAGGACGCTGGAAGATGCGATTGCTCAGATATCTGTTGCGGATAATTTGCCGGTGGATAGGCATCCTGAGCGACGGCTTAAGGCCTCTTTTAAGGTGCGATTGCTTCTCATTGTGCTTGCAATTGTAACCCTGTTTGTGTGTGCTTGTGTGTTGATTGTATGATCCTTTTTGTTGGAACTTTAACGTTAGCTAAGCCTTTTCAGCTGCAAATTTTAACCAGAATTGTAGGCTAGAAGATTTCATTAGTGCTTGGTGGGGAACTCAAGAGGGTTTATCTCGAAAATATTTGTTTTGGATGCATGAAAATGGATATCTGGATGTAATATGTTGAGCGGAAGAATGGATCATTGAAGCTCATTCTAGGATCAACTTGTGATTGCATACACAAGTAGAAGCTTTGTTAGCCTTTTAACTAGTGTCTATTTACATTCTTGGTCATATGAATGCTACGCATATGTTATGTAGCTGAAGCCAACTGCTAGTAAATATTGTCCACTTTGGCCCGTTACATATCGCCGTTAGCCTCACAGTTTTAAAACGCGTCTACTAGGGAGAGGTTTCCATACCCTTATAAGAAATGTTTCGTTCCCCTCTCCAACCAATATGGGATCTCACAATCCACCCCTTATGGGGATAAGTGTCCTTGCTGACACACTACTCGGTGCCTAGCTTTGCTACCATTTGTAGTAGCCTAAGTCCACTGCTAGTAAATATTGTCTGCTTTGACCCGTTACGTATTGTCATCAGCCTCATGGTTTTAAGACACATCATTAGGGAGAGGTTTCCACACACTTATAATGAATGTTTTGTTCCCCTCTCCAACCAATGTGAGATCTCACAATCCACTCCCTACTTAGCCCAGCGTCCTCCCTAGCACATCGCTCAGTGCCTAGCTCTGATACCATTTGTAATAGCCCAAGCCCACTGTTAGTAAATATTGTCCGCTTTGGCCCATTACGTATCGAAGTCATCCTTGGAGTGATTTTGTAGTTCCTAAGGTTTTGTTGGAATTGCTCGAAATATCAAAGGAAAAAATGACTTCACAATTTGAGGAAATAAAATTGAAACAGAGAGATGAGGGAAAGGAGAGGCAGATTAGGCATGAAAATATATCTATTTTTGGTTGTTGTCCTGGTTTTTGTCCCGGGTGTGTTCGAGTGCTCTACATGCTCAGATTTTTGTAACCATTGGGGGCGTCTCAACTAAACTTTCTATGAGATCCCACATCAGTTGGAGAGGGGAACAAAACATTCTTTATAAAGATGTGGAAACCTCTCCTTAGCAGACACGTTTTAAAAACCTTGAGTGGAAGCAAGGGAAAGCCCAAAGAAGATAATATCTGCTAGCGGTGGGTTTGGGTTGTCACAAATGGTATCAAAGTCAGACACCAGACGATGTGCCAGCAAGGAGGCTGAGCCCAAAAGGGAGTGGATTGGGGGGTCTCACATCGATTGGAGAAAGGAACGAGTGTCAGTGAGGGCGTTGGGCTCCAAAGAGGGTGGATTTTGAGATACCACATCAGTTGGGGAGGAGAACGAAACATTCTTTATAAAAGTGTGGAAACCTCTCCTTAGCAGACACGTTTTAAAAACCTTGAGAGGAAGCCTGAAAGGGAATGCCTAAAGAGGATAATATCTACTAGCGGTGAGCTTAGGCTGTTACACTTTCCTTTTGTTGTTGATGTGCTTTCTTTGATCTCGTTAATGAACATTCTGCTGTTTCCTATAAAAAAAAAAATAATGTCCCAAGTTTATGCTTTTTTTCCCCTCTTTCCCTGATAATTAGGCTTTTGAAGAAGCTGAGCTCCCCAGGCTGAAGGAAGAAAAACCAGGTCTTACCCACAATCAGTACAAGGACATGATATGGAAGAAGTCTCCTGACAACCCTCTTAATCAGGTAGCTTAATGCATAAACGTTTCAAAAACGTTATTCCTGCTTGCCCCTCTCTCTTTAAAGCGTGCCTGCTTTTTCATGTTTTTTGTGGTAGGTTGCAGCAGAGTGAGTGGATCCATGTCCATCAACATGGGGCAGGCGAGCTTTCCCTTGATTCTTTTAAGCCTGTTTACTAAAGCTTCTTCTTCATTTCTGTTGTATCCTGGAATCATCTTTGGTTTGTTAATGGTTCTTTCGTTCGTCTGTTGCTGCATATTATGGCACGGGACTCTCGTAAATGCATATAAATAGTTTCGGGTCCTGTGTTGTACAATAAGTATTAATATTATGACCTTGGTTTCTGTCATGTGTTCATTCAGGCCATGTAGTTGTCTTATTTTGGTGCATATGCATTTGAAGTGAATGGAGCTCACGGATGATGGGTCCTTGAGGTTTTAGAGGCTGCGTTTTCGTAGTCGTAACAGGAAAAAAAAAACGACTTGTTGGCTGTTGCTCTCTATCAAAATTAGCATTGTGGATCTAGATGTGAATTTTAGGTTAGTCTTTTACTCTCTTAAGGTGTTTTAGGTGTTTTATTGTGAGATCCCACGTCGGTTGGAGAGGGAAATGAAACATTGTTTATAATGGTGTGGAAACCTTTCCTTGCGAGGAGAAGCTCAAAAGAGAAAGCACAAAGTGGGTTTGGACTGTTACAAACGATATCGAAGCCAAACACTGGGCGGTGTGCCAACAAGAACGATGGGCCTCGAAGGGGGTGGACACTGGGCGGTGTGCGGTGTGCGGTGTGCCAACGAGAACGTTGGGCCCTAAAAGGGAGGGTGGATTGTGAGATTCCACATCGATTGGAGAGAAATGAGTGCCAGCAAGGACGTTGGGCTCTAAAGGGGGTGGATTGTGAGATCTCATATAGTTTGGAGAGAGGAACAAAGTATTTTTTATAAGAGTGTACGCATTTTAAAAACCTTTGAGGGAAAGCCCGAAAGTAAAGCTTTATGCTCTTATCTTTTTCGAGCTAGAAGAAGTGTTTAATGCCTCTTTTGGGTATAAAGATGCAAGTGCTTCTTGTTGGAAAGTATTTAAGGTGGGAGCTTCTACTTGTCTTGTGAATGAACAAAAGCAAGAAAAAGATAGAGCTTTAATGCCCTCTGTTATGTGCTGTTTCATGATGTGGTTCAGTTATGTTTTGTGTACTTTTTTTCTTCTTTTTCTGTTTGTCTTCTTGTTGGCTCAGGGACGAGGTGAATCTTGCTCACAAAGTTAAGGACGTGCAAGTACTCGAAGTTGATAAATTCACAGATACCTGTCCTCGACTACTGGAACTTGGGTGAAAGCAACTTTGAGTACTCGCTCGATATCAAATGAGCTAATCTCATAAAACACCCAACTCGTTCTTCAACATTTGGTTATCGAGTAGTTTCTCCACCCATTCTTACCCCAAAATTCATTTTATTTGTCACCGAACCAACATTGTTGTTGTGTAGTTTCTAATAACAAGCACGACATTAAGAACTAGCAAAGGCACCTCATAAATGGAGAGCTGCCTCATTGAAGAAGGGTCATCCAATTTGATTGAGATATTCCAGCTACTTCAACAATCCACTTCACTGTATTTCAACTCTCAAAACTGTTTTAGCCACCACCCCATTACTTCAACTAATCAGCTTCTATTGTTATTAAATTCATGGCAATTCTTCAGCTTTTGATTCTCTCTCCGGCGCCGGCTGATCTCAAAAAGAAAGAACAAAAATGATGTCTCTTGTGAAAACCAAATCGGCGGCGACCAAGAAGAGAACGATCATCATCGGCTTGAACTCTGCAAACTCCGGCAGAGAGATTCTGCTGAGAATGCTAGTGGGGGTGGTAAGAACAGGGGATAATGTGGTGGCTGTTCATGTTCAAGAGCCGAATGAGAATTTCGATCCAAATACTTTTCATATTCATGAAGATCTCTGCAAATCCAAGCAGGTCAAAAATGGCTGATTGGATTTTATGTTTTTGTAATGAGAATTGAAGGGTTTTGTTTTGTTGATCGAATGATGATTTTTCAGGTCGATTTTCAAGTTCGGATTTGTGAAGGAGAATCCTACATTTTAGAATTGACGCATCAGGTTCGACTCAACTTTGCGACCATTCTTGTTCTCGGAACCACCACTCTGGGGTATAGTTGCAATTTTACTTTTGACTTCTCACAAACGTTTCAAAACTATCAAAAGATACTTGCATTTTAGTCCCTCACATGAGTTGTAATTAGTTATGCAGTCCCAAAGATTCAGTTGTTAAAACATGCTTGAAAGGGCTGCCCCCAACTTGTACCCTTATGGCAATGGACAATAGGGGAAAGATTCAAGTCCAAATGAAGGGCACTTCTCAAGACGGCTCCACAAGGCCAATCCTCAAAGCTCCCCTGTCATCTTCAGCCCATCATTCACCAAACCCATTGACTGAATCATCATCTTCTTCTTCTTCTTCTTCCTCACCATTACCATCAGTGCAACCAGAAGGATCTCAGAGACCAGTCCCCACATTTGCATTCGAGAAGCTGAACCATGTCGATTTGAAGCATTCTGTCAGGCTTTTCACACCCCAAGAGATTGCTTTTGCAACCAAGAACTTCAGCCCTGTGATGTTGATTGGAGAGGGTGTGTGCTTTAAAATGTATAGTGCGAAGCTCGAGGATGGGCAGTTCGTAGCTGTGAAGGTCCAAACCAAACAGTTTTCGTCGGAAGTTCTACTCCGAGAGATCGAAATGTTGGCGGGTCTGAGACATGAAAACATTGTTAAGATTGTAGGCTGTTGTAACCGTGAGGAGATCCGAGCGGTTGTGTACAATCAGTTGAAAGGAAACTTGATGCAGCATTTGAGGAAACTCAAATGGACTGATCGAGTGCAAGTTGCGATCGGGGTCGCGAAGGCATTGAAGTATCTTCATCATTCTTGCAGCCCTCCGATTATTCATAGGAACATAAAATCATCCAATATTCTGCTCTCTGATCAGTGCCAACCACAAGTCAGTTCCCATTTCTCCTTCCTTTAAGCTGTCTTATCTCTGAGTTATGTTCTGTAACTTCTCACATTTTCAGTTATCAGACTTTGGAGAAGCAATGGTACTTCAGGAAGTTCAAGAGGACTCGACACAAGTTGAGATTGGGAGGTTCGGCTACTTAGCCCCGGAGTACTTGATGTTTGGAAAGGTTAATGAGAAGGTCGATGTTTATTCCTATGGTGTCGTACTTTTGGAACTCATCACTGGGAAAGATGCAATTCAGACAGAGCAGACAAACCGTAGAAGCTTAGTTTTCTGGGTAAGTAAATGAAGAACCGAACATTTCGGGTAGCTTTTAATCCGGAGTTTTCTTATCTGCATGATAGTTAAGATATTTCATCATACCAATCCACAGGCAAGGTCCCTACTAGGCTGTAACTTAGCAGAACATCTAATTGATCCAAATTTGAAGGAAGACTACAACCATGAAGTGATGGAAATGATGATGATTGTCGCCCGCCTTTGCCTCTTGCACTCGTCATCAAGACGACCAACAATGGAGACGGTAAAAAAATTCTTCCCCTGCATCAAAATTTCACTTTATCAGAGCTAACCCTGTGATAGAACACATTGCAGATAGTGAAGCTATTTGAAGAACCAGAGTACTTGAAGAAAATGCAGAGGGGAAGAAAGGATCTTCTTACAGTGATGACTCCCAAAGCTGAGATGGGATTGTGGAAAAATGAAGAATCGGCCCTTCAAGATACCACCAGAACAGACCATAACTATGGATTTTCTGACAACTTAAACGTCACATAAACATATTATATAAACATATTATATGTAACAGTCCAAGCCCACCGCTAGCAGATATTTTCCTCTTTGGGCTTTTCCTTTCAAGCTTCTCCTCAATGTTTTTAAAACGCGTCTGCTAGGGAGAGGTTTTCACACCCTTTTTAAAGGGTGTTTCGTTCTCCTCCTCAATCGATGTGGGATCTCACATTATAAATACTAACATATGAATGGTATGGAAATGAAATATTCAATAAGGTATAATTATTTTCTCATCACTTGTCTTTGTAAATGTATCAAATCAGAGTACTCAACAAAAGTTGTAATCTACAAAACTCATGTAAATCAATTGTTTGCCTAGCTTGATAGTTTCCACCTAGATTAGAATGAGCACAGGTGGATGAAAATTATAGCAGAATTTGAGCACATAACAACCAACAATATTGTTCTTATTCCCTTGGTGGAGGGGGAAGAGAGACAGAGAGACAGAGAGAGACGGAATCTGGCTGATCTTAAAAATAAATAAAGAATATCGAACAATTTTCTTATTGGGGTACAATAATTCACAGGAAGGAAAAGAACTACTAAAATTGCTATCCTACTCACTAAAACAATTTTTTCCTTCTTCCTTCTCTTACATTTTGTTCAAATTACAATGAAAGTATGCAGCAACGAAGAAGAAAGAGAGGAAAACATGCTGATACTTATCAAGATCATTATAGTTTATAGATTTGTAAACAGGTTAGCATCACAGCAGAATGTTCCTCTCCTTATTCTTTCTACTGTATACTTACTTGTTAATTGGAAGCAACATTAAGCCAGAGGAAGAAAGCCAAATACAATATGAAGAAAATGGCAATGAAGTGTGCTTAGAAAAATACTGGAGACGGGTGCAAATGGGATGTTTGCGAGCCCAAACCTCAATTGAAAGAATGAGTTGTTCATCATGACAGCAGGTGTTTATGGAGATGCAGTGCTTCTGCCGGCAGCCTTCCCACAAAGGAGAGCATTATCTGGAACATTGTACTCATCCCTCAAGGACTTAACTGGTGTGTAAACTCTGAGATAAAATTGTTGTCCAAGGTATTGTCTTGCCCAAAACTCTGACCTTATATTCCACATTCCAACATTGTCAAGTGAAACATAAATGGCTGTCCATGACTTTGGGTATACCTACAAATGATCAATAAAAATTTCATCACTTTATAGTTCCAATCAGATTTTATACCGAACTCGATTGATGTGATTCGAATTTCTCGCATAGAATGGTGAGATAATATACCTGAGTCGTACACCGTGAAACTGCATCTCGGAGATTGTACTGTTCTCTGCTAGCAGGAGTCCAAACTCCTCCATCCATTCTGCAACAATAAGTTAGTGTTGAATGAGTAATTTATGGAATAGTGAAGTTTGCTCAGTCAAAACCACAAGACATTACCAGAAATATATATACTTGATCATTCTTGAGGCATACATTGCTGGATTTAACAATTAAATGGTTCTTACCCGACAACCCAGAAGGAGTATCCATCAAGATGCCAACTCTGTACGATGTTCTCGTGGTTCTGGAAGACAATCTCAATGAAGGCTCTATAGTCAGCTCCCATGACTGAGGTATCAAGGTACATTTTCTTGCCAGATGGAAAATCTGGGATACTTCCAATGCGAAAAACGCCATCAATGTTGAAGTAATCTGCAAGCTTAAGAGGTGTGTCAGCAGGAATGAAAGATACACTGTTAACAGCATATCTCTGCTTGCGATCGACAAGAGCTGCTGAACTCTCCAGCTTGATAGTCCTGGAAATATTTATCAAACCATAGTGATACGAGCCCTGCGGATTCGGTCTCGGTCCGCTAGCAGTGAGATTAGTCCTAAAGACACAGAAAAACAAAAATATAAGCTACATTATACTAAGAGTATCAAATTCTGAAGCAATTACCATTTGTTTCTCAAACAGAAAGCAAAAAGGGAAGGATTCAATGGACAATACCTGACAGAACGAGCCTGGTTAAGAGACCAATCGATTTCATTGGTTGGTCCACCAGGAATTGGACCAGAAACAGAGGTGGTGGAGTCGCTGTAATGAAGAATGGCAGTGGAGTTGAGAATCTTGGAAGCAAACCGTGTTGATACAGCAATATAGAAATCACGAGATGGCTGATTCGCAGTGATGAGCACCGAATAAGATTGACCCACATGAACATCAAGGGATGAATAAGTATTCTGCATTGTGTGGGTGCCTTCAACTTCAACAAGCGTCATCTCATGATCTTGAACCCTGAAATTCAGTGAATGCTGAAGCCCAACATTCGTTATTCTAAATCTGTAAGTCTTGCCTGCAAAAGAATTTTTTAAAAAAACCCATAAATGATCTCATTCGGTTCCACAAAGCACATTAGGAAGTGAATCCAAATCTCAAATTACCCTTTTCAACGGTGAACGTGGTAGCTTGCGGACCACGGCCATTGATGACAATTCCATTAGGGTTAGGGAGTCTGTGACCACCATCCAAGATGGTTTTCAAAATCTAATCAAAACAAACAACACAAACAAATTCCTCGAAATCAGAAAACAATAATGAAATCATCCAAACTTCTACATTAGCCACGAAAGTCGAACCGTTCATTACCGAGTGATTGGCGGTGTACCAGTCACCGATGAGGAGGGTGTAATCAGCAGCGGGCTCCGGGAAGGGAACCGGAATGAGGGGGCGGCTGAGTACTCTAATACTTCCAAATCCACCAGCGGCCTTGTGGAATGCAAGAGAGGGAAAATAGAAGTAAGTTCCGATCTGATCCTTCACCTGAATTCTGTAGGTGAAGTTCTTCCCCGGCGGAATTGGGCAGGTTGTTCCGTACACTCCGTCTTGGTACGAATTCTTCCTCTGTTGAACTCCATTCCTACGTGAGATTCATAAAAGCGCGGTTAATTTTAATGGGCCGAACTAGTAGGCCCAAATTAAAAATAGAGGCCCAAGTTAAATGGGCCCAAGATCCAATTGTATTTTCCTTTTCTTTTTTTCTTTTTTCTTATTTTACTGGGAGTTGATAACGTCACCTAATCCCTCGGTTACGTTTTCCACAAGGAAAATTAATAAAGCTTTAAAGCGACTTTGGCGCATAAAGTTAAAATTACATTTTATTCTCTTCTCACGTGTTGTCTTGTTCTTCCAAATTACAATCTAATTTATTTAATTATTATAATAAAATTATAAATTAAATTAAAATTCCATTTTTCCACCTTATTTTTTTAATAATTTTGTCTAATTCCCTCATTTATTTTATTTCCTTATCACACATTTCCAAAATAATATTTTTAAATTCCTCCCCCACATTTCAAAAACTAAAATATTTTTCAAAAACTCATTAAATTAAATTTATATATAATAGATTAATTAATTTTTAAAACTTTTAAATACATTTTAGATTTAAGAATAGATCTAAGGAAGGAAGACTTAGAAGTAGAATTCAAATCTCTATAGAGAACAAAAAGTACAATATTTTTTTAGTAGTAGGTTTGAACAGTTATAAATGGTATCAGTGGCAGTCATGAGACAATGCTAGCGAGAATGCTGGGTTCCAAGGATGGTAGAGTGCTAACTAAGGTGGTTTTTAAAATTAAATAAAAATAAATATTAATTATGTAAACATTCCTTTCTTCATCACAAAACTATTCCACCTTCTGAAAAAGAAAGAGAGAGAAGAAGAAGACTAACCAAGACAGAAGAAATGGCTCCGGGAGACTATTATGAACATTGATGTAAAGATTATCGTTCGTAACGGCGTAAATCTCCGGTCCCGGAAACTGCCCGTTGATCAAAATCCCCTACAGAATCAACATGATACAAAATTAAATCACCACTGAACTCAAAAGCTTAAGTAGGCTAAATTTAATTACGGTGAACATGATCTCGGACCTGTTGGCGAACGCCGAGAGGATAGATATCGCCGTAGGTGACATTCCAATCGAAGAATCGATAAGGGCTATCAGCAATGGCAATGCCCATGAATCCCAGAGCCAGAGCAACATAAAAACACCATAATTCAGCTGGTTTTGGTGCCATTTTTGGAGCTTCAAAGCAAAAAAAATGGAGTCTTTAATGGATTCTAGAGAGAGAAAGGGACTGAATTTTAATGGGTTTCAGTTTAGAGAAAATGGGTAACTGATGAAGAAATAAATGGAGTATTTAAAGTGAAGAAGAAGGCGAATATAATAACCCCAAACGCCACTTCCAAAGATTTATATACATTTTTTAATTCCTTATAATATTTAATTAAACTAAATTAATTTATTTATTAATTTAAATGGAAAATGGGAAAGAGAGAGGAAGCTTGGTGGCGTGGCGTGGCGTGGCGTCTGGCGTGGCGTGGAGTAGCCGCGGTTATTACAGCAAAGATTTAACTGTTTTCCACGTTGGAAAAAGACTCCGCTGTTCTCCTAATTTTATTTCCTTTTTATTATTATTATTATTTAGAAAATAATCTGAATAATCTATTAACTCATTTTCAATTCCTTTAAAAAAATATATATTAAATTAAGAATTATTTTCATTTCATATTAAAAATTATTTAATACATTGCTATTTTTTTATTGTAACAATTTTTTTTTAATCTTTAGTTACTTTCCTTTTTTTTTTTTTTTTTTTATATTTTTATCTGATAAATTGTTAAATTTAGGGTATTTTAATAAGTTTGACTTTAGAAACCGATGGAATAAGTTTGATGATAACTTTATAGTGTCGAGAAAAGTCTGTTTTTTTTTTTCCGACATGATTTTACTCGTTGTGTTTATATTATTTAGAATAGAGACAATGTTTTATGCTTACGATTTTTTTTTTCTTTAAATTTTTATTTGATTCAAATACGAGATTTTAAATTTTCAATTGAAACATGGAATAATGTGGTGGTGTTCGAGTATGAATTTACATTAATATGTCACTATTAATGTTTTTTTTATTTCAATAATAATTTAAAAAATATTTATAAAATGTTAAAAGTAATATTGTGATAAAAAAAAAACCTTTTTATCTCTTTTTAGAAATATAAAAAATTGATTAAATCTCATCTTATAATTTAAAATTGAGAACACAAATATTAAAATAAATCTTAATTATTAATTTTGTATATAATAAGTCTTCGACCAATTTTATTTATTTTTAAAAAATATAAATATATATTAAATATATAATTGAAAATAAATACTATTAAATATAAATTTTAATTTTTTTTAATCTTATATCTAATAATCAATAAACTTGCGATATTTTAATAGATATTTTAATAAATCTCATTTATTTATGATTTTATTAAATACAAGGTTAAAAATTAAAGGATTTAATTTTTAATTTAATATAGTGTTTATTAACTTATACTTCCAACTATTCGGGAAATTTTAATTTTTTAATTTTTTAATTTTTTAATTTTTTATTTATATAATTACATCGAGTTTATTAGTTGGCTAATAAGTAATTTTCTAATTAAACAATGAAATTAAACATTCAAGAAAAATATATAATATCTTCACCAATTAAAAAACTCCAAAATTGTTTTTTTAATTTTTTTTTAGTGAATATAAATGGTTTAATTTTTATTTCTTAAATAAAATAAAATAAAATAAAATAAGAGTTTTAAATGAATATATAAGTGTGTATGGATTTTAATTAATTTAATTTTGATTTTGATTTTGACCACCACATGCTAACAGATTTATATTTATTATAGATTTCAGATCTGGAATTAATAATATGAATAGGTTTGAAGGTCAACTAAATAATATTTAAATTATTTTTCAGGCAACATCGTATTATTGATAATAATTAATTTATTTTTTCTTAAAGAAATAAAATGAGAGTCAAAATGGAGAGTGATTAGTGGAAGCGGTGGGGAGTGTGAGCCAATAAGAAGGTGCCACGTCGGAAATAGAAAAAAAAAAGGAAAATAAATTATAAAGCCGCGTTTGGGGTTTGGTTGGATGGTAACGGTGGAAACCCCGTGAGTTGTGACGCGACACACGGAATTTTCATGTGCTGAAAAAATTCACAGCCAAACACGCCTTCTTTCCAGCTGGCCTTATCTGACGGTGGGGATTGTTTTTTGTGATGTGGGGCCGGGATTGATCGACGGTTCAGATCGAAGGAGAGACGTCAAAGAGTTGAATTTTATTTTGTGTATGTACGCGGAAGGGTGCGATCCAGTGTGATGGAGACAGCAGTTTCCGTGTGTTTTTTGGAAATTTGGTGGGTTTTGCTTTAAAACTACGTCGTTTTGATGAGATAAGTTCACAATGGAATTGGTGGGCATCTAAAATTTGAAACTAAATTAATTTGTGGATTTAGGGCTATAAATTTTTAGGATTTTATAGTATAAATGGGTCGGTGACCCGAACCATTCGAATAGATTTCATAACTCTACCTAATCCGACTTGTCGGGTTGTTCTTTTAAAAAAATTATACTTATATATAATACATGTTAAATTAATAACTAAAATTCCATAAAATTCAAATATAAACGGTTGACCAGTCACAAAACATCACTAACATTGATGATAAATGTCAAATATTTTAGCGTTCATAATAATCTTATAAGTAAGGTAGGATTAGGTTAGGTTGTATCCCTATTTTTCAGTTGGTCAGATTGACCATCAAACCCATTCGAATTCTTAATTTTTCAAAAATTCAACTCAACTTACTTAAAAAAAAAAAAAATATATAACCCTTTACGGGTTGGGTTGAGTTGGGTTGGGTAATTCATGTTGTTTAGATTATCATGTCATTATAAATATCCTTATTTTATACGTTCTGAATTTAAAAATATTTTGATAAATTCAATAATTAATGATTCTATTAAGCATAAATTTAAATTTTATATCTAAAAGTTTTGAAATTTTTTATCTTCTTGGTCTAAAATTTGTACAAAAACCTAAAATAGGTTAAGAACATAGTAGACACCAAAGAAATGAAATTAAAATATATTTGGCATAAAATAAAAAATTTAAGATCATATTAAACGTTTTTTAAAATTTATAGACTAAATCAATGTGTGATTCAACTTGTTGAATCTAAATAAATATAACAAACGAACATAGTTCGATTGTTTGAGAAATAAATCTAGATCGATCAGTTAAGTGTATAAACATTTTTATAATAAACAACCAAGTAAGAGTTAAAAATAATTCAAACTGATTAAGACATATATTCTGTGTGAAGAGACTAGAGATTCTTGAAATAGACGGATTGATTTGATTTGATTTGTTTAAAATAAAAAAATGGAATTTAAAATGTTTGGTAGATCAACTTAACATGATAAGTTTGACTTAAAACTGATAGCTTGCATCATATTCTCCACCCACTATTTATTTCGCTTTCTATTTAATAGAGAGTTTTTATGTTCGTGGTATAGGTTAATTGTGAGATTGCACATCGATCAAAGAGAGGAGCGAGTGTCAGCCAAGATACTGAATCTCGAAGGGGTGAATTGTGAGATCCCAAAAGGAGAATAAAACATGTTTTATAAATGTGTGAAAATCTCTCTTAGTAGACACGTTTTAAAAATCTTGAGAGGAACTTCAAAAAGGATCTATAATAGATGTATATATACTTTTTTTATAATGGGTAAAGAATTTTTTTTGTAGGTATTGAAATTTGAAGGCACGTAAGTGACGATCAAAGATTAGTTTCCAAGTATGAGATTGTTGGGTTTAATGGGGTCTAGTAGTCAAGATGACTCAATTTGAGAGTCGTTTGACATTATACAAAAGACCAAGAAGAATACCACCAAGGCACTGTAGCGGAAGGTGAGCCACAAGTAGCATTGAGCTTTAGATATTACAAATTTGTAAATGAAAAAAATAGTCATCAGCCTCACAGTTTTTTCCCTCTTTGAATTAATGTGGGATCTCATAATCCACCCTCCTTGGTGACCTAGCTTTCTCGCTGGCACACCCACATTCACTAGTGTCTGACTTTGATTCTATTTGTAACCGTTTTTCCCCTCTTCAAACTAACGTGGATCTCACAATTCACTCTCCTTGTTGACCCAACTTCCCCACTGGCATACTGTCTAGTGTTGACTCTGATACCATTTGTAACAACTTTAATCTAGCTAGCAAATATTGTCTATTTTAACCCGTTACATGTCGCCGTCAACTTCACATTTTAAAACACGTGTGTTAAAGAGATTTTTATAGTATATATTATGTTATTTGAACCGTTTATTGTTGGAAGAATTTGAATTTGGTTATTAATACTAGAATTCCATGCTCATAGGCTGGGCCTATCCTAACAGCCCACTACCATCCAGGGTCACAACACAACGGCCTGAACTCTGGCCTGAACTGGCTTGAACAGAAAAACTAAACACCACGAAATTTGGAATCCTCCGGCCATGAATCCGGTGGCTTTTCTTCTTCTTCTTCTTCTTCTTCTTCTTCTTCTTCTTCACGGCCACATTTCCCCGCCGCACCACCGCCGCGAATTTCCCCATGGACGACCAGTCTCTCTGCCCCAAGCAACCTCTCCCATCCCCCTCTCGGATTCCCCATCTCAATCTCCGCCGCAACTTCAAATGTTTCACACACTACGCCCTCCAAACCAATAAGCACCACGCACAACGGACTCACAAACCAGAGGACAATGAATCCCACGGCGAGGTCGATGCCATCATCGGAAGTCGAGCTCGGTCCGACGCCGCCGGGATGGAGTATCTAATCAAATGGAAAGACGGGTATTCCCCAACATGGGTCGCCTCCAATTTCATTGCTAAACACATTGTCGCAGACTACGAAGCCCCTTGGTGGACAGCTGCCAAGAAAGCCAACGAATCCGCATTAAAATCCCTCATAGACGCCGCCGACGGCCGCGATTTCGATTCCGTTGACGGAGATGGCAGAACCGCTCTGCTCTTCGTCGCTGGGCTTGGGTCAGAGCCGTGCGTGAGAATGTTAGCCGAGGCCGGCGTGAATCTCGATCACCGTGACTACTGCGGTGGGTTCACAGCGCTGCATATGGCGGCTGGGTATGTGAAACCAGGGACGGTGGAGTTGTTGGTGGATTTGGGGGCGGATCCGGAGGTCGAAGATAATAAGGGTCGGACGCCGTTGGGTCTGGCAAAAGGGATACTGAAAGCGACGCCGAAGGTTCATTTCGTGAGGAGAGTGGGGCTGGAGAGAGTGATCGGAGCGGTGGAGAAGGTGTGTTTTGAGTACGCGGAGGTGGAGAGATTGCTGGGGAGAAGGGGGATGGGAGAAGATTTGGAGTATTTGGTGAAATGGAAGGACGGAGAGGATAATGAGTGGGTGAATGTGGGGTTGATTTCGGCGGAGTTGGTGGCGGATTTTGAAGCTGCGTTGGAATACGCGGTGGCGGAGGCGGTGGTTGAGAAGAGGCTTAGGGAATGGGGACGATGAGTATCTCGGGCTAATGTGGACCTTACGGAATCTGAGAAGGCCCAGGCCCAGGCCCAATTCAATGATGGTGGCCCTTGATAAAGCCTTTTTCCCTATTGTTTTTAAAATAGATTTTAAATTTGTTTTAAAAAATTATTATTGAAAAAAAAAATATATATTTGAGTTGTTTAAGTTGGTTTATTTTAGATAAATTTTGTACATTATAAATAAAAAATAAAAATTAATTTTTTTAAAGCATGGTTGATAATCATTATTTTTAATCATCTCGATATATTTAAATTAATAAATTTATGATATAATCATAAATTAATGTAACAACTCAAGTTCATTGCTAGTTGATATTATCTGTTTCGACTCATTACATATAATAGTTAATCAAACAAAGAGAGGTTTCCACATCCTTAAATGTTTCGTTTTTCTCTCAAACCGATGTGGGATCTCATAATTCACCCCTCCTTGGGGGCCCAATGTCCTCACTAGCACTTCGTCAAGTGTCTAAATCTGATTCCATTTGTAATCATCGTTAGCCAGAGAGAGGTTTCAATACCCTTATAAGAAATGTTTCGTTCCTCTCTCCAATCGATATGAGATTTCACAATCCACCAACCTTGGGGCCATAACGTCCTAGCTAGCACATCGTTCGGTGTCTGGTTCTGATACCATTTGTAACAGCTCAAGCTCACCGCTAGTAGATATTGTTCACTTTGATTCATTATGTATCGCCATCAGTTTCACATTTTTTAAAACATGTCTACTAAAGAGAGGTTTTCACACCGTTGTAAAGAATGTTTCATTCTCCTCTCCGACCTATTTGAGATCTCACAAATAAGTTATGCTATATTATAATGGATCATTCATAATCAGATATGTAACTAAAGTCGGTAACAATACTCGATAGGTGACGATTACATCCTTTTGCAGGTTACTACAATTCATAGTATAAAAAACTTTAAAAAAAGAAAGAAAAGTTCGTCACGTTACAAGCTGTGGTTAGACAATGAGATAAGCGCGAGTAGAATATATGGACTGATATTTGTATGGGTAACTTATGATGCCTTGTCGGCATTGGCCAAGTGTGCATGAACGATTAGTTGGCAGCTTTAATGGTTAATTAATAGGTGACGTGTGACATATGAGGAGGCACATCAGCCGGAGGGACACGTCAACATTCCTGCACTCCCATGGAAAAACATCCATTCCCCACTTGGCACACGCGCTTTGAAGCGCGTGAGTCTCCATCTAACCCTCTGTTTCTTATTCAACAAAAACAGAGACTCATCCTCTGTTTCTTGTTCCTAACGATGCACGCCAGATCCTACTCGGAGGCGACGAGCGTTGACCAGTTCTCGCCGGCGCGGCGATTCTACTACGTACAGAGCCCCTCGTCCAACGAAGTGGAAAAAATGTCGTACGTTTCGAGCCCAATGGGTTCGCCGCCGCACCATTTTTACCATTCTCGTGAGTCGTCGAGTTCCCGATTCTCCGCCGCGTTTAAGAACAACATCAACCGGAACGGCAATCCCTCTGCCTGGAGAAAACTCCACCGCCCCCAGGATCCCAATGAAGAAGAGGAGGAATCCGGTGATCGGAATCCCAAATGGAATCGGAATCTCCGGCTGTACTTGTCTCTGTTTCTTCTGTTGTTTCTTCTTTTCACCGTCTTCTTCCTCATCCTCTGGGGCGCTACCAAGTCCTTCCGCCCTCAAATTCTTATTCAGGTAATACCCATTTATTTATTTTCGTTACGAATCACGACTCTCAACAATAATTTGATATTGTCCATTTTGAATATAAGCTCTATTGGCTTTGCTCTTTGCTTTTTACAAGGTGTCATAAACCCACTTCAACCGTCTTTCCTTAGTTCATCAGCTTCTAAAACTATTCTCGTTTGATTTATCACTTAAAAAGTTCATAACTTACATAATCAATCATTAACAAATAACGGGTTGGCAACCAAATTGAGTAGAGTTGCACATTTTGTTTCGAAATGCTTGAAAACTAATCGAATAGTTATGAAAGAAGAAAGATGATCGTGTGTACTTTTTCTTTATTCGTTCGAGTTAATGAATGTATGAAATAAAGATAAAACCTTCTATCTGAACTGACATTCAAGTACGTACCTGATTGAGTTCGATATGTATAATTTAATCGATTAAGACATAAGTTTTCAATCTTATTGTTATTATTAATAAAATACAAAAACTGAAAAGGAGGAATTTTTTTTAAAAGCATAATGGCATTTTTGTAAATTTTCAGAGTATGGTGTTCGAGAAGTTTAACGTTCAGGCAGGAAGTGATCCGGGGGGCGTGGCAACGGATCTGATGTCATTAAATTCAACGGTGAGGATCAAGTACAGAAATCCTGCCACGTTTTACGGAGTCCACGTCAGCTCCTCACTATTTCAGCTCCACTATTTCCAGCTCCATGTAGCCTCTGGCCAGGTTCAAATCTTAATTACGCTCTAATTTATTTATTTATTTATTTATTTAAAAAATGGCCTATTAATTATAAAATTAATTAATGAACTTCTTTATTTATTTTGATTTGGGAGGGTTCGAGAGGTACGTGTGAAATCTAATTATTGTCGTGAGTCTTTGAACTAAATATGAAAACTGATAATCAGATGAAGGAGTTTTACCAAAAAAGACAGAGCTCTCGAAGGTTAACGACATCGGTGGCAGGGCATCAAGTCCCGCTCTACGGTGGGATCACAGTAATTGGGAATTGGCGAGACCAACAACAAGACGGGGTCGGGGTCGAGATGCCGCTAAACCTCACGATGGCTGTGAGGTCGAGAGCTTACATTCTAGGGAAGCTGGTGAAGTCCACATTCCATACAACCATTACATGTTCAGTTACTCTTAGCACCAACAAGCTTGGAAAATTCCACTCTTTCAACAATTCTTGCACTTATAATTGATCTTCTTATGCTCCTTGTGGAGGTTCTTTACAAAATTTGGGTAAGGTTTCATGTCATCGACTATGCAATTTTTGTTGCCTTTTTTGAATTTCTTGTACCACTTTTTTTTTTTTGTCATCTCCCTAGTTTGTATCTAAATTTATATATATATTAAGAACGTGTTATGTTTGTCGTTTGTTTAAGTTTTGGTCTTTTTCGAGCAGTCTTCAAGTTTCATCCAATAGCGAGTATGTGAGGTCCCACATCGGTTAGAGAGGAGAACGAAACATTCTTTATAAGGGTGTGGAAACTTCTCCCTAGTCTCGAAGAGAACAAAACATTTCTTATAGGTCCCGAAGGAAATTGGATTGTGAGATCCCATGTTGATTGGAGAGGAGAATGAATGCCAACGAGGACGCTTGGCCCTAAAGAGTGGTGAATTGTGAGATCCTACATCGATTAAAATGCTAATTCAACTAGTGAAGATGAAAAGATTCGAACTTCTAATCTTTTGATTGAAGACGTATGCCTTAACTAGTTGAGTTATATTCAGATTGGTCATTCTCGAGTTCGATCATTTCTTAGAAACACACTTAAACCTAGGAAATAGTCTCCAAATTATTGATCGATCATTCAATAAATTTCTCCTCCCTACACAAACAAACTAAAGCACTTGTATGATTGCACTTCACATTCAACTATTACATTTGGAAGAACATTGAACAACTCAAACCATATATAAAGACACAAACCCTAAATGATATCAATTCATTAGAGGAAGCTTTGGCTCACTTTGTTTTAGTGAGGCTTAAAGAAACTGGCTTGAACACCAGTGTTAGTGACCACATATACACCAGCTGCAATCATGGCCAAACTCAGCCCCATCCCCAAAACTCCCAACACCCAATTAACCCACCACACAACACCATATTTCTTAGGCTTCTTGATCTTCAGCCACATGAAGCATGGATAAGCAAATGTCACCGGCAGCGCAATGCCTCCGACCAGCCCAGCCACGCTCCCGAGAAATGGGATTGCCACCGCTACGAAGAAGCATAGAAAGCTGAATACTGTTCGTAAGATGACTCGTAGCCACCATGGGCATGCTTGCTTCTTCCTCCTTGTGTAGCATGCTTCGATGGCATCGAACATCGGCATGCCATAGATTTGGAACGAGCTCACAGCATTGATTATCACGAATAAGCTTGTCAACCCAATGAGGAATTGAGAGGTGTCACGACTATGGAAGGCGTATAGAGCTGTAAGCATCCCTCCATTTTTGGGTATCTGCAAATTTTAAGCATTTTTTAGTCGTCTTATCAGAAATAGTCTTTTCAACTTAAAAACATGTTCGTTTTAATCCTTTGAAGATCGCTTACCTTCTGACCATAAGCCCAATAGCCTCCTATGGCGAGGGGAAAGAGACATATGGCTACGACCAAATATGAAAACTTGACCCCTCTCCACATCGGGACTCGCGAGGGGTGTTTTTCGCTCGATGGCATAGTTGCCTGCAACGACGACCATAAAAAATAGCAAAGATTTAGGTCATACAAGTTTGATATCTAAAATTTTTAGATATGTATATGTAACAGCTTAAGCCTACTGCTAACAAACATTGTATGCTTTGATCCATTACGTATTGCCGTCAACCTCACAGTTTTAAAACGTTTACTAGGGAGAGGTTTTCACATCCTTACGAGGAATGCTTAGTTCCTCTCTCCAACCAATATGAGATCTCACAATAAAATGCATCTACTTGGGAGAGAGTCTAGTCATTCTCCGACCAGTGTCTCGCACCCGTTCGATGACTAACTGTTACAGTATCACCGTCAAGTTCACAGTTTTAAAACGCATCTATAAGAAGAGGTTTCCACATCCTTATGAGATGTTTCGTTCCCCTTTCCAACTAATGTGAGATCTCACACTATAACGTGTCAGAGAAAGTCTAGCCCTACTCCGATTAGTGTCTAACACTATTTGGTGAATGATTGTTACAATATTAGGGTAATAAACTTCAAAAACCATCTTGTTGCAGATATTATATATCTTGGTCGAAGTTTGAATATGACGTGTCGATTCACGAAACTAAACTATAATACACAATTTAAAACGTTGATAATCCTATTAAGAACCATATGGTAGTGGGAGTTACCTGAATCTCGAGGACAAGATTGTGGCCTCTAAAAGCAAAAGCCACAATTCCAAGAGCATTCAAAGCGTCAAAGGCCCTTTCTAAGTGGGCACCGGGCTTCACCGGATCGTACGAGACGCCAGGCAATCTGCCCTTGACGACGGAGATTACCCATATCAAAGTGCAGTAGCCGACGGCGGTGATGGCTCCGATTAGAGATACGCCGGCGATGGAGTTCAAGTTAGGGAGCTGGGCCAAGAGCACGGCAACGCAGGTGAACACTAAGTACCACTCGATGGGTGTCAAGTAATCGGCGTTGCAATTAGTTCCACAAACCACTTTGAAGAAGGTCTTTGAGGTTGAGCCTCCGATGATTATTAGAGCCACACATGTCCCCGCCGATAGGTATAGGATCGGGAAGAACGCCAATAGCCTTGAAAGCCCGTTGCCTGTAAAATAAAAAAAATAAAAAAATTATTCAATGAGATTTATTGTGATGGGCGAGGTTCACGCTACCAAATATGGTACTTTTTCAATTTTCTCTTTTGGACTTCCTCTCAACGCTTTAAAACTCTCGGAGAGTTTTCCTACTCTTGTAAAAAATGTTTTATTTTCCTCTACAACTGATATGAGATCTCACAAAAACTTCTTCAGGGTCCAACGTTCTCGTTGGTACTCATTCTCTTCCCCAATCGATGTGGGACTCCCTAATCCACCTCCTTCGAGGCCCAACGTCCTTGCCGGCACACCGTCTTGTGTCCACCCCTTCGAGCCTCAGCCTTCTCACTGGCACACCGCTCGATGTCTGGCTCTAATACCATTTGTAATGGCCTAGACCCATAGCTAGTAGATACGGTTCTTTTTGGGTAAACATCAATTTGAGAGTCATGCCACTGCTAGATAATATTGTCGTCTTTGGGCTTTCCCTTCTAGGCTTCCCTCAAGGTTTTAAAACACGTATACTCTTGAGAGGGTTTAGCCATACTTTGACTAGTGCCAAAGAAATCCGATGCTCAAAGAGAACAATATCTGTTAGCGGTGAGCTTGGACTGTTATAAATGGTATCAGAGCCAGTCATCGGACGGTGCAAGGCTCTCCATGGTAGACACGTTTTAAAATCTTGAGAAGAAGCCTAGAAGGGAAAGTTCAAAAAAGACAATATTGACTAACTGTAAACTTGAACTTGTTATAATTGGAGAGGAGAACAAAACATTTTTATAACAGTATAGAAACATCTATGTAGCAGACACATTTTTTAAACCTCCCGAAGAAACCCTAAAGAAAAAGTTTAAAGAAGTCAATATCTACTAGTTGTGGAGTTGAGCCGTTACATTTATCAAAATTGTTGACTTACGAACAACTATTTAGATTGCAAAACAAGCAACGTTTATATAGAAACTAGTTTTTAAAGAATGATCTTTCTTAAAAAGGAATACCCACCAAATGTTACGCTAAATAGCTGAAGATATCTACTATAACGCAACCCAGTTTCAGTTGATTCATGAAGTTGAACCATCAAATATAAAGTATAAAGTTGCCAAATGAAAGCTATGATCAAGCTTATGATTCCTCCAGCCCTGAAATTAACCAAACAATCAAAACCCCATTAAATTCATTAAACCCAACATAACATAATCAATGTTCTTTTCAAATTACCATCCAAGAATGGTGAAGGCCACAGGAAGCACAAGGGCTTGGATTCCGATGCCGGAGCAAAGCGTGTGGAAGGCAGCGTAGAACGCATTTCCATTTCTCGACTCGGTGATCGGAAGCCAAGCGTCATGTGGGTCGAGCCTCGTTAAGTTTAGGGCTCTTCTAATCGGACTTCCAATCGGAGTGATATTGAATCTCGGTCTTGGGCTTGAAGATTTCGGAGTTTTGCTCACGGTTTCGATCCGATCGTCGCTAGAGAGTAGAGGCGAGCGAGTTAGAGACGGTGAGTGAAATTGCGCCGGGGGAGCTACGACCCGTGGGGTGGCGGCTTCAGTTACTTCATCCATGAGTTTCTTCTAGCTTTTGTAGATCCAAACATGGAAATGGGTTCCTTATATAAACATATATGAAGTTTGAAAGGGAATAACTTGAAACTTAAAATTGAATTAAAAATTGTAATAACTTGAAATTCAAAATGGTAGCTCATGAAAGGTATGACCATTTTTGTAGTAATTTTTAAGTGCTAGTGGTCAAGGAAGATAGTTGGAAGCTAAATTTATTATTAATTGGGTCAATATGAACGCAAGCATAGAGTTTTGGCTTTATCTTTTGTACTAACTTAAGACTCGGTTTTTTTCGCTTAGTTTTGGATCAAAATTATTAAAAAAGATGAGCCAAAAGATTCTTCCAATGTATCATTTCTGGGTCCAATGAAATTCATAGGTATAGGAAGAAACCCTATCAAATAGAGATTTTTTCTTTCGACCATCTTTCGATTGTTAATACGATATATAAGGACCGCTACTACAAATAGTACTACACCCTTGATCGTGAAATATCGATTGCTTGTTGAACCCTATGAATTGCGTGAAAGTAGGATACTCCAAATTCGGGAGTCTAAGAGTTTTATAAAAC